ATTTACAGGAAAGCAAATAAGATTTCTAAGGCACAGAAACTCTCCTTACATTAAGTTGGAAGGCCACCATTAGGATGAATCTTTCATTAGGCAAGCTATGCTGTAGTTGCCTTCAACAACATTTCTTACTGGTTTGATCAGATGAATCAGCTCTGTTTGAGAATGAATTCTAAACTCATCAGACTGTGAGTGCAATGTGGTTGGGAATTCCTGTCTTCCTATTGGCCTGCAAATTTGCACCTCACTTTGTGCACAGTGAAGATATGAAGCTGACAGATGACCAGAATATCTGTGGCATGAGTTTCATTGCTGGTGGCTTCTGTGCTAAGGTAGAAAAAAAGTGATTTACATGAGCCTCCTTTCATGGAGTTTATGTACTGTTGTTCAGTTGTCAGCAATGGGTACATATGTAGAAAACTTAAATTCTGGTGACAGAGAACTATGTCTTTCTTGTCCATTATCTGTTAGTAGCCCCCATGTGAAAGCATTTCCTGTTTAAACCCTGTTGTGGCTGAAGTTCTCTGAAATAAGTTTTATTTTAGCCTGTTCCAATTTAGCTACTGTTCTGCTGTACTGTGCTGTCTACATTTTGAACACGGTATGTAAAGAGCCCCACAGAAGCACAGAATGACACTTTCTGACCAACAGACCACTGACAAGGGGATGACGTTTCAAAAGAAAGCCTTGTTTTGTTAATGGAAACAGGAATGAGGTGCCCCAATCTCAATGGCTGTGTATGCCAGTGGCTTCTTTCACTGATATCTTTAGGAGCAGCTCTAGCACGTCCCTTCTGTGGAGTGGAGCTTGTCAAAAGCTTAATGCTTCCTCCTGACCTCCAGGGAGCCCTGGGTGATACCACAGAGTCTTGGCCTGGCTGAGAGAAAGCGCAGAAAACACGCCCTCCCCTGCAGAACGGAACCATCTCCACAAATCACCTTGTGAATCCTGCTCTTGAGTAGGGGCTCTGCTAGGCAGCCACAGGGAAGTTTGTGGGGCTTCAAAGCAAAACACATTTTAAGAGTTTGCAAATATGTTCATGTAATTCCAGAATGTCAGCTGGAGGCCTGAGATGTCTTAAATGGTTTTTGTGGTAGAAAATCCCACCTGGCTATAGTTCTGCTAAAATCTTTAGCTGTAACCACAAAGCTTCTTTCCAGATTTTCTCTGAGTGATAACTGTTTCTTATGTCTCTAGTTTAAAAGACTGCATTTAGACATTTGTGTAACTTTCACTCACTACAAGTAGTCATGATAAGGAGGAATCAACCAATCTGAGTTTAAAGAGTGAAGTTAACCCCAGCTATTTTAAACGTTAAATCTGAGCCCATAAAACATATATGCCTTAGAGTAAGTTTTTTACAGTCATGTAACTGATCATATCCAGTAAGTAATGATCACTTTATTTTTTTCTAGCATAATAAAAATACAGAAATGGATATCTGCAATATTGTTCCAGTTTAACTGCTTAACACATTTGATATCATTACAACAGGTTCCCCTGAGCAGACAAGGTCTCCCTCATGAGAGATACTAATGCTAGAAGGCCTTAATAAAGCAAATGTGAACTGGACAGCACCTCATGAAAAGGAGCTCAAGGATAGTACCAGGTGATTTGGCAACTCTTAGCATGGCAATTCCTGTTCAGGGTTTATTTGTGAGCGGGTATGTTGACCCTGGAGGTAGATTGGAGCCCTAACAGTCATTTTCTTCTCACACTGCACAGAGAGGCACTAGGCAATTATCACTTGGGAGTTTTTGTGAGTCAGTGTTGTCCCACTGGGGAATACCAGGGTAACTTGCTAATGCTTTCAGAGCAGTTGGGTATGTTAGAGCTGGCAACATGGTGGACATTAGACAGCAGATGGTAGAAAAGAAGCAGGTATTTTCCTCACTGAAAAACCTATAAAATACTTGTCTTGCACATGTATTCACATGTGTGTATTCACGTTTTTGTGCACCCTTACAGTCACTTTCTTTGACACCAATCTTTCAGAGAGATTTCAAGTCCTAGTGCTCAGTCTTACAACAAATCCTTCTTCACCTAACGATTGTTGAGGAAACTGTAACCTCAGAGTGGAACTAAAAGACTCAGAAACCCAGGGGGAAAAAAGAAGTTATCAGATTTGTTTCAGGTGTTATGGTTTCTAAATAGCTTTTGAGGTATTTTTTTCTTCACTTTTTAAGGGCTCAATGCAAGAAATATTCCATATAATACATAATAATCCGCCCAAATCAAGTAACAACCACTGCACAAAAATGAACAATGAATCATTAGTAGAGCAGGACATGACCTTGTATTTTTGGAGTCCTTTTCTTCTGCCTTGGTGACAGGACTACCCTCTTTCTTTGCATAACAAACATGTAATAATTTGGTCTAGACTCTTTTATTCTAAGCCACAGACAGACAGGCAGGAAAAAAATTCCAGGAAAGAGCCTGCTGTGCAACCCCATTTTTCTGTGCTCTCTTTAGAGGAACAGATTAGGGGCAATAAGCAGGCCTTGAACAAGAACAGGCTCTGGAAATATCTTAAGTAAGCCTCACAAAGTTAGAAGGTTCATTTATATTACAACCCCATACTTGGTTTTGGGATAGTTATTTACTGTTTCATACAACAGTAAACGGGAGAGAAGGTAAACCATGACATGACAGTAGAATATTTTTTAAATCTTCTGGGCAGCACCTGTAGGAGTTTTCTTTGTAAGTCTATTCCTTTCTTCTGAAATCTTCTAACCAAACTACAATTTGTGGGTGGATAGCATGGGGTGGGTGGTAAATAGCAGACAAAAATAGCTCTCAGCTTGAGAAAGTGCAGGGCCATTGTGGCCTGCAATAAGGGGTGTGAACTGCGATGAAGATGAACAATTATAAAGTATTAATTGCTGTGTGATGGTTAATTAATATATCCTCAGGTTGTGATAGTCTTAATTAAAAAAATAAATTATACTAACTTCAGTAAGATTAATTTCAGGATATGATACTATTGAGTAAGTGCATAGGCATTAGAATTCTGCCTGTGAAAAGCATGTTATTTAATTCTAGTCCTGGATAAATTTGATCCATGGAAATTGATGATATTCATCTGAGAGAGCTTACCATAAAAATGCTTTTATAGGGGACCTGATTTTGTAGCCTACTAATAGTCTGATGAAGCTGAAGGGAACAGAAGTGTTTCTGTTGTCTGTAATATGAGGGTCTGGGGCAATTCAAGGTTAATGAACACAGTTTATATATATACATTGCCATACTCCAGTAACATCTTACTCTCGACATTTCTTTCTACCTGTAAAGCTCTCCTTACAAAGTTTGTAACATCTATTTTTTTTCCTAGTGTTGTTTATACCAAGAACTTCAGTAAGGAAACATCACTCCATAAAATGGAATCTCAGTAGCCTGCCTTGGCTCTGTTCTGTAGTGTAACACATACAGTCATCCTTCTTTTCCCTGCCTGAGCAATGGCACTACTTAAAATCCTGTCTTGGACAATGGAAACTAAATGTATTTCCCTACACAGGACTGAACTCTGACAAAATGTGAGCCACAGGAGGCAGATTCTATCTGCGGACTTGACCAAAGCAGGGAAATGTAAAGACTGGCTTTTAGAGTGATCTTATTTCTGTGGCATAGTTTGGAAGTGCTGTAATTCCATGAGTATCACTCAGAGGTTATTTGTGACAAGAAGCCCATAAATTGGCCGCAGTGCAGGCTACATCCATGTGGTAGTATGAGAAGAAGTTTACTGCAGGAGCGCATCTGCCTCTACCTCTCCTGCACCCCTCAAGCTCCTCAAATGCCATTTCTTTTCTCTCACTGCCCAGAGCTCTTTCATGCCTGCTTGTGATAATGTGAGTATCATCCTAGCATGGTATGAAGTTTTTTTTTTAAGTACCTGAACTTTCAAAGAGGTATTGTCTGAAGTATGGGCTTTACAGCTGTCATATGGTGTAGAAAGCTCATAATCAGACTGCTTTTCAGCAATCTGAGTCATGAGTTGGCAGTAGTGTCAGCTCTAACTAACTTGCCCCTCAGTTCTCAGATTTGTGCTGTCATCTTGGTATCCATTTCAACAGTATCTGCCTTCATTACATACAAGAGGCAAATGTACCACTTGATTCAGGTTCATAGTAGCTTTATTAAAATTCAAACTCTTCTGTTTGCAGCATGTATCAGTTTTAAACAGGTAAGACATTTATATGTATACCTACAAGTTTGTGAAATACAGATTCCAGATATGGTTTGTTCTTACTCAGAGAAAAGCAAAAGGAAAAGCAAACCAGTTGTTTCAGGTTTGTCTAACATGAGGATGAAACTGAAGTAACTTCACAGATGTCAACGGGTCAAATAAGTCTTCCCTAGGACAAGACTGAACAGGCTTATATTCCTAGAGTTACACTGAGTTACTCCTCATCATCCCTTGATGAGAGTATCCCTACATCATTGTAAACTGAGCTAATGCTGCAATATTGTATATAAAAATAGAAGGCCCAAGAATCTTCTTCTCAATATTGCACCGATCAGGTGATAGCCTGAAGCATGAAATTAGTTTGCTTATAGATTATATAGATATGACTAAACATTAAATTATATAGCACGTTCTTAAAACCAGCACTCAATGAAGAATATTCTGATCTCCATCAGGATGGAGGTCTACACTCTTCCAGCTCTATGAGAGGTCAACTTCTTCCCTCTAGTATGTCAAATTATCTGTCATTCACCCTTAAATGCCAGGCTGGTTAAGACAACAAGGATGAAAAGGTACATTCAGTTGTAAATAAATATTAGCAAGCATTTCAGAAAACAAACAGAGTTCAGTCATAAAATGAAGAAAGCAGCAGACATTCAACCAGTGATGAACAGATTCTGTGAGTTTGTGTTTGTTCACAGATTTTATTGTCACTTAATAAATACGAAATAAAAGCAGATACTAGGGTTCTCTTCCCTGTTATCTGCAGCACTGATGATGATTCCAGCTGGTTGGTCTTAGATGCTTATCTAGGACAGGATTATTTGCGTTTGGCAGTAAGTTTTTCTTTTATCTTCTTCATAGCAGTCTGCACCCATTTCTGATCAGCACTTACGCAGATCTTGATACCATTTCTAGTGATAAAGCTATAGGAAGAAGGAAAGCAAACCAGGCGGCCATTAAATTCCAGTCTCTAAACCCAGATTTGCTGTTCTTGGTTTTCATGCAGAACATGGGGAAAAATGTGGTTAAACAATTTCAAATGCTGGAATTTGTAGATGTTAACTGGAGTAACAGAAGCAAGCAATGTTAGTTCCCTATTCATGGCATGGGTATATGTGGAACGTACATGGTCATGTGCATATATACTGATATTAAAGAAAGGAGCATACCTACTGTTCTGAGATTTTAGATTCAATCATGATGAACATTAACGTCCCGGGAGCAGATCCCAGATTTGATAAAAATGCATGCTAGTGAGCTCAAAAGACCAAACACAGCTCCTAGCAGGAGTCAGAGTTACCCCATATTCTTTCACATGATCTTTCCCTGTGGCTCAATTCAGTGCACTGCTCCACCCTTGCTGAGATTTTTCCCCACTTGCTGATCACCAAAGAGCTGACTGTTCAGTGAGCTTTCTGCCCATATTCATGAACAGCAGACATCTCTCAGCTCTCTGAGGCCCACTCATGTCCCACTCAGGCCCCACTCCCTCAGCTGTCAGGCGACTCCTTCATGGGAGAACTGGAAGGGTGACCTGAACTCGGCAGATTTAGTGAGTTGGGTCATAATGCTCCTTCCCTTTTCTTTGGTAACATGTTTGCATAGGCAAGTCTGAAGGTAAACTGTGCACTAGGTACTTACATTACAGCATTTGCTTGAGTGTGCTTTTCGTAGCCTACAAGATTTCGGATGCTCAGTTGTTTTGTACGGAGATTTACACAAGTGGCTTTGAGCATGGACTGACTTCCAGCACTTCCTAGAAGGGAAAAAGTAGATAAATGAAAAGGGGAATAAATACTATATTTATATTTAGCTATAATTACTTAATAAATTGTGAAATCAAGAAGATGTCCAATTGTGGTAAGAATGTGAGGGTCTTATGATTTACAGCCACAATACCACTTATACAAGAGAACTTGAGCTATTTTTCGTGATGCATCCTACCATCTGTAAAGTATTATTGTTCTTTCAGTCAAGATATTAATCTTCACCTGTTAATCTGAACAATTGTGTAATAATTCTACCCCTAGGAAGTGACTGCTTCCATAGCAGAAAAGGTATTTAGTATCATTCATATTTAGGTTTGTGTCATCTGCAAATAAGTGTCCATATGGAGTAGTGCTTAGAACTGGCACCTTTACTGGATGGATTTCTATATGGCATCCAAACTAGTAATTCCCCCTACTTTCCAAGTGAAGACAGGAAAGCAAGGCTAGATCTCTCACAGTGGACATCCAAAAGCAGTGTTAAAAAAAATTGTTGAAAGAAAAGGAGGTATATCTGCCAGAAGAACTAAGTACCTATATACCTTGCTATAAGTCTGGTTTCATAGTCAATGGAGTGCTACTTAATCCTTGCTTTCCCCCAAAGTTTCCATACAATTGAGGAAAATGTACTGGTGATTAATAAAGAAAATCGTGACATTGGCGTAAAATTTTCTGGGCAGTTGGTATCTTACATAATGATAACTCAAAATGGGAGCTCATTTAAATGAGATGGAGTATATGGATACATATATCTGTAAGTCTCCGCTTCCTAGTTTTGGGTTTTCTCTCACCCGTGAAAGAGGTTTGGGAAGTGTAAGTGTAGAAAACCCTTTCAGAAGAGCTATTATGAGGAGATTAGTGTTTATTTCACTTAGGAAAGCTGTCCTGCCTGAAAAGAGAGGTATCTTTCTGAGAGACAGTTTTAGATATTTTCTCCTCCTGCAGTGCAGAGAAGCTCTGCCTGGTATGAGAAAAGATAAGTTCTTGTGGACACGTTTGAAGGCCCCCACAGTGAAGGGGGGTGGAGGCAGAGACAATAAAAGCCCTGAGAAGAACAGAGGGTGTGGCATGTCTTTTCCTAGGCCAGATGCAGTTTGTGTTCTTGACTTTGGAAATAAATTCTCCTAAATCCTTCCACTGCTTGGTATTTTGGTGGTACCTGAGCACATTTGACCTTACAGGAAGACATGAGGTAGGACAAACAGAACACTGCTGCACTCTGAGGTTTCTTTCCAAAGAATTTAAAGAGAAACTGGCTTGAATAAAGTCCAAGAGCTGTTCAGGTGCACCTTGCATAATCTCATTATCTGTGAGCTTTTCTTTGTTTGAAATAATTAGAATAGCTGAAAAAAGCACACATCAGCCTTTGGAGAAGCTGTAGCATAACCAGTGCACAGGTACTGGCAGAGTTGCTAATTCCTGAGGGTTTGTTTGCCTGAAGGAATATCTCTCCTGATCTTGCTTTAGTCACAAGTAGCACTATGCATTTTTTTCAATGCTTCATTACAAATACCTTACCGTCTCAGACTGGTTTTCAAAATGTGGCATCAAGAGAGCTCAAAGATATTCAAGCCATCCTTACTCGTCCTGGAAATATTTTCTCTGCTGGCACACTATTTTCAGGGAATGGCTGCAGGAAATACCAGCAGAGCTTCTCTAAGCCTGGGAACAAACCCCAACTGCTCTGCACCTGAAAAGCTATGCTTTTTCAAGTGTCATTGTTTTCTTTATCATTCTTTCTAGTCCTTTTTCAATTGCTTGTAGACCAGCTCAGTGTGCTCTTTCAGCCTTGGTGATGTTTATGGCAAATTCTACATCCTGGAGAATGACATTGGGAACCGTCAGTCTGTGATGCAAATGCACATTGCTAAGAGCAGTATTATTAATGAACATATGAGAACGTGTATGATCCAGTTATAGCAGCACTGGGTCCACATCCTCAGCGTGTAGCTTCCTAATGTTTAGCAGGTGTCAGTTTGGTTTTAGTGTGGTTTTGTGAAGATACCTTTTCTCTGTGTTTCTCTCTGCATGTTTGTGGGTTTGCATATGGTTTGCATATGAGTGTTTTCTGTGATTTTTATGTGCTTGTTGGCATGAATCTGATTTTAATTGTGATAAGAATATGTGTGTTCGTGGGTGTATCTCCACGTTTTCCATGATCTCTTAGCCTAATACAAAAGTCACTGACATAAACACCACTGTAGACAGACTGATTTAAAACATGGCTAGTAAACATGGCTCATCTCAGTGCTCCTATATAGGTCTCAAATAAGATGTTAAATTGTATCATTCTTTGAAGAGAGGGAAGATCTTGTATAAATCCATTACTGCCCTTTTTACTTTTTGTTTATGGTTTGCCTGTCCGTACCAAAAGATTTGTCTAGACACAAGCAAATAAGGCAATATGTGATCCAGAACCGGAAGAACTTTTTAAATTAGGGACATTAGAGGAATTCAGGCTATATAGTTAGAGAAACATAAATAACGAATAATATAATAACATTCATATAAAAGTAGTATATCTGGAAATAGAAAAAATATACATCTAATTCAAGAAATATTTTTCATAAAATGTTACTAACCTATAGTACTCATTGCTATATGGCATCAGTGAGACTAAAAGACATTGTGTCTTCAAGATTTCATGATTTTAAGAGAGAGAAACCCTTTCAGTGCTCTAAGGCACTGAGAGTCTCCTTGCCTTAAAAGCAGAAGCTAACCACTAATTGTCAGGACATCAGACGAAATCTCCCATAGAGGTGCCTGTGGGGTTGCAAACTTACCTTTCACTGTGCGCACAGTGAAGATGCCAAGGCAGAGGATGACGAGGATAGCTGCGGTGTGGAGCTTCATTGCTGGTGCCTTCTGTGTCAAGGCAGAGAAGAAAGTGGCTGTTGTCTGCCCTCTTTCCCAGAGTTTATAGATTGTCATTCAGTGGTCAGTTCTTGGGTTCACTTTTGTGGGTGTCATGGAGGGCCTGAGTGTGAATGGAAGAACTGAGTGTCAGTACTTTTTCTGGTGACAGAGAACCACCTCCTTTCTCCCACTATGCTTTACTAGCCCCCCTGTGAAGGCTTTTCCTGCTCAAACCCACTGTGGTTGCACTTGCTTCTGGGCTGTGAGTAGGGTTTATTTCAAGCTGCAAAAAGTGAGAGCTCTTTGTTGTGTAGCGGAAACTTTTCAGAAAAGTTCCTGTCCTTTCACACCTCCATTTTGAGACTTTTAGCTAAGCCACACTGCAGAGACACAGAGTAACATTCACTTCTTTGACCAATGGACCACAAGAGGGGGAACTGTGAGCTAGAGGAGGACAGAAAGAGGAACGTCTTGGCTCTTTCCAGAGTGGCTGTGGATAGCTGGTCACGTTAACACGTAGCTTTGGAGGTGTATCGCTGCTATTTCCTATGAGTGGTGGAGGTTGTCAGAACTCTTCTGTTTGCTCTGTGGTTTGACATGGCCAAAGCTGATATCAGCATGTGCTGGGAGAAGCAAGAGTGAAGGCACTTTTGCCTACAGATCCAGATCCACTAAGTCTCCTGCCAATCAGGCATTAGTACAGTGGTTTCAAAGAGGAATAAGATTTTATAAAGAGTCATGTTAGAGTTGGTGGTTTGGTTTTTTTTTTGTTGTTGCTTTTTGTCTTCCATTTTTTGGGGATGCATAACTGAAGTATAGTGGTTTCAAAGAGGAATAAGATTTTATAAAGGGTTGTGTCAGGCTTGGGTTTTGTTTAATTTGTGGTGTTTTTTTTGGTTGGGTTTTTGAGGTTTTGGGGTTTTTTTGTTTGGTTGGTTGGTTTGTTTGGATTTTTTTTTGTGACAGGGTATTTCTAGTATAAAGAATGGATATCGATCAGTGGTTGGTGACCAACTGTAGTGTGCATCAACTCTTTGTCTTGGGTTTTATTCCTCTCCATCTCTCCCTTTCATCACAATTATTACTGTTATTCTTAGTAGTAGTAGTAGTATTTTATTTTGTTTCAATTATTAAACTGTTCTTATCTGAACACATGAGGTTTATTTTTCCACTTCTCTCCATGGGGGTGAGGCAGGGTGGTGCTGAGTGAGTGGCTATGTGGTACCCAGTTTGTGGCTGGGGATAAACCACAACAGCAAGTATGATGTTTCCTTGCTCTTACCTCCAGGCCTTGCCTCAGATGGTTACATCCAGTTTTCCAAACTCTTGATAACATCAGTGTAAATTCCTTTGCATGGGGAAAGGGCAGCATGTGGAAGTCAATTCCCAAAGATTCTTCAGGCAAATTAGCACTGAGCTAAGAACTGTGCTCAGATACATGACTCCTAGGCTGTAATGGCTGGTCTGCAACCCCAGGCACAGTCTGTAGGTCTTGCAGGTAGAACACAGGTTGTGTGGTATATTTGTATATACACTCACATCCTTTGTTCCTATTATTTTCACTCTTTTATCTTACCTATCCTATGCAAACCAGGGAAACCCAGGGAAAAGGACTAGCAGGTAGAATTGCTTTAATTGAATGCCTGCTAAACCCACTTGCAGCACTAGGGAAGTTGCAAGGACATGGAAGCCAAAGCTTCAACCAAAGCCCCCAAAGGACATGCCTGATGCTACAAAGGGAAGTAACCATATTGACCTCAGGAGGACTATTGGGAACTCTGTGTTAAGTTTGTGTCCAAGTAGCCTGGTGTTGTGCTACACACTGACTGAAATCAGTCCTTGGATGAGGTATTCTAACTCTTTAGTACTTGTCAGCTATGAGATGCAAGATAGCAACCTTGCCACTGATGGTGAAGAGAAGTTTTCTGCCCATTAAGAGAGAAGATGCTCCCCCACTTCTGGTCATTGATATGGCATGTACATGTATGTATCTGCTGTCTACCAGCTGAATTGAGCATGAGCTAGCTCAGAAAAACTCAGTCCTTCCCACAGAACCTTCAGCGGGTTGTAGATTCCTCTGAGGTGTTGCTAGAAAGCCTGTTGTTTCTTCAGTTTTCCACCATCCTTCAGGTGGAATGGAAAAACTGCCCTGTGGCAAGTTTTCCCCCCTCTTTGTACTTCTCATTGCTGTGGCCTCCTGGGCTGTGGTTCTGTGCAGTTGGCTTATGTTCAGAAAAGTCTGTGTTTCAGAGAAGAGTTTTGTGGGCTGGAGTTCCACAGCCCCGTCTTTGGATATTTGTTGATCTCTGCTGTTCTAATGTTATATAAGGCTCATTTTGTACATACTGTAACACCAGTGGGCACTTCCTCTGTGCAGGTGCAAAAGCTTAGCATAAGATGATCAGATGTATTGTCTTTCTGTTTTCTTGCTTTAAAATAATATTAAAAAGACAGCTAATAAGTGCCCAGAGTGTTTTTCCCATGACTGCTGCTCAGCTCTGGATAAGTTGAATGATCCTCCTCCTGGTTCAAGAAATTTTTGCTGAAATAGTTGCTCCACATCCCCTGTTTCATGACAGCAACCCTGCTGAAGGAACAGAAACATGCAGTGAGCAGTGTTGGGCCTAACATCAAGAATTTACTTGTAAGGGTAAAGAGTTTGAAGTACTGGATTTTCTCATAGTGTAATCGGCTTTCAAAAAAGAGAGGTCAAATAAGTAAATCTTACATACTTCACAAATAAGTAAAATCTTACATACTTCACAAATAAGTAAAATCTTACATACTCCTAGAAATGAGTGTCTTTAGTGAGTGTTCAGCAGCTTCTTGAAGATGTGCCATCAGGTCACTTAATAATTTTTGAAGACTAAGTCAGGGCATTCAGAGACTTTAAGAGGGGGCTTAAGAACCTCAGCTTACACACATCTGTATAACAGATAACTGTTTTAGGGTGGAAGTTGTCTCCCCCAGGAGATAAATATCTGTCTCTATTATTTATAGAAGCAATCTGTGCATGTATATTATGCTGGACACAGTAAGTAAGTGAACTTAGGTGGGATATATTGTTGAGGAATACATCTGGTGCAGGTAGCTCGGTCTGCGAACTGCAATTAGAGATGGAAATTGAGCTCTGGGTGGGAGCCTGGAGAGACAAGAGGCTGTGAACTGCCGACTTTCCATAACAAGGGGCACGAAGACCGGTGGTGCCAGCGAGGTGGATGAACTCTGGGAGACAGCCGGAGCCGAAGACTCAGGAGGAAGAGAGAGCCTTGCGCGCGGGTACAGACTGTAGGAGTGTAAAAGCCCAGAGGGTCCTTTGTTGGGGGGTTCCTCCTCGGAGGCGGCAGCTCGGGCTCGCTCTGTGTTACTGGTCTGTGAATAAATTGCTTTATGGAATGAGACCTTGATGGGAAATCCGGGGTAGAGCCGTTAAGGAAATTTGGTCTGACTGCCTGTGAGTGGGGTGTGCAGGGAGCCAAACGGGGACCCGTCGGATCACTGGAGCTGCCTGCTCCAGTGAAGGGGCTTCGGTCCCAGCAGTGAAAGTCTCTGGCGTTGAGGGTTGTGACCCTGGCGTTGGGAGTGTGACTGCCAGAGATTTTTGTGAATGGTCGGACTGGGAAGTTTCCTCAACATTTCAGTGACCCAGTTGGGACCCAAGGCCACTACCTTCAGAGTCTCTCTTCTCCAGACATCCTATGGATGGCACTGGGTGAGTTTGTTTGGAGCAGGGAGAAGCCAAAAGGCGAGTGTTAAAATTCCCTGAGCAGATTCTGTATAAATTGTAAGGGTGAATGTGAGTCTCTCCGTTGGTGTGGCATTTTGTGAAGATTTGGTGAAACTATTGGTCAAGAACAGGTGTGCAGCCTGGTCAGTGGAGGGCACACGTAGAGGAGATGTGAAGCCCCCGTGAGGTGGGGGGGCTCGTGTCTCTCCTACAACACAGATGGGTTTGGGAGACCCATGCCGGGAGAGGCTTGTGTCCCAAGTACTGTGCAGGGAGTGGTAGAGTCCCTTGGCACACACAGAAAGGGAGATTGAAGTCCATTTTTCTTTTTCTTTTTTTTAATCAGGTAAAAAGGGTTTTCAAGTCCCTCTTAGTGTTTGAAATGAAGGGAAATAAGCCCAGCATAGATAAGGGGATGCCCTTGGCCGAGGTTGTGCAAAATTAGGATAAATTGTTTAGTACAGTAGGACTTTGCGAAGAGCATGAAGTGATGTTGTGCCAGCAGTATTGGTCAGCTATACCTTGGTCTGCTAGCTCAGCAGGACAGTGGCTGTCACAAATCTTCAGTGGCACACTTGCAGTGTCTTTGTAGACCAGGCAGCCCCCGAAATCAAGAGATATTTTAAGAAGCACATGCTAGTGTGGCAGGGACCAAGACAGACATGGGACTGTTGGTCCCCAAAGGGAGGAGCGCCACCCAGCAGGAGACAGGACTCTATTTCCCAGGAAGGCAAGAAGAGTATCAGAAGCAAATAAAGTGCTACCCATTGTGAGACAGGACCCTATTCCCCTGGAAGCCAAGAAGAGTATCCAGAAGCAGATAGACTGATACTTAGCCCAAGGGATTTTGAAGCATTCCATTAGACGAAGAAAGTCAGCCTTTGTTTACCTTAACCTGAAAAAGACAGCAGCTGACTGGTACACATCTTCCCCAAGGTTTTGCCAGATCCCCTACCATTTTTTTCACGAATACTGGGTTTGATTTAAAGGGTATGAAGTTACTGTGAGAATTGCTTCTTGTACAGTATGTGGATGATTTGCTATTAGCAAGTAGTGATGAGAATGCTTGAATATTAGACACTACACTTTTATGTATTGCCCCAGTGAAAAGGGGACACTGTATATCTCCATCCAAACTTCAGCTGTGTCAAAAGAAAGTTAAGTATTTAGGCTTTATTTTAGGAAAATGGCAACAGATCTGGAGAGAATAGAGGCCATAATTAAGTTCCCACATCCAGTAATCAAAAAAACGAATGAAAAAACCCCACAAAACCCAAAAAAACCAACCAACCAAAAACCCCTAAACCGACTAGATATGAAAGAACAAGCTTTAAAGGTATAAAAGGAGCTTTAGTGTCTGCTGCTCCTGCTCTTGGGCTCCCAGATCCTTTAATCTGTATGTACATAAATGTAAAGGAATAGCTAGTGCAGCGGTAATGCAGAATTTAGGACCCCATTAGAAGCCAATTGCATATTATTCAGTTGAGCTAGATCCAGTTGCAGCAGGAGCACCAGCCTGTAATAATTCAGTGGAAACAGCAGCAAAACAATATTAGAAAAGAGCTGCCCCCTTATCCTGGGACATGTAACATTCCATATTCCATTGTGGTGTCAAATCTTGGATTGCATAATGTCTCATCAGTATTTCCACCTCGTAGAATCATAGAATCAGCTGGGTTGGAAGGGACCTCTGAGATCATCAAGTCCAACCCTTGATCCACTACCACCGTGGTATAGACTGCAAGGGTGTAAAAGCCCAGAGGGTCCTTTGTTAGGGGGTTCCTCCTCGGAGGTGGCAGCTCCGGCTGTTGCCGTGTTCCTGCGCTGTGAATAAATTGCTTTATGGAACAAGATATCTGACACTGCTGTGGGAAACCTGGGATTGAACCGTTAAGAAAAAACCTGGTCTGAATGAGTGTTGGTGGGGTGTGCAGAGGGTCAAGAGGGGCACCCGTTGGCTCACTGGAGCTGCTGTGAAGAGGCTTTGGTCCCATTAGTTAATGTCTTCAGTGCTGGGAGTGCAACTGTCTGGGAGTCTTGTGGATGGTCAGACTGGGAAGTTTCATTAACACTGGAAGCTTCTTTTAAGTCATGGATTTCCTTTCGGCTTGCCACCTGAGAATCAAAAATGAAAGAAATGAACCAAAGTACGGAACAATATCAACTCCATTTTCAGTCTCATGCAGTCAAACTAACTTTTAGCTTTCTTCCTATTGTTACACATGTTTGTTCATCATACTTTTTTTCAATTTAGGAAATAATTTTGTTCTTTTATATGGATGTAGATACAAAATTATATGAAAAAGTACCTAAATCTAGTATATGGATAGACTGCATTAGGTTCTTGTATTATGGATTAGAGGTCTGTCAGCAGCTCTTTTCTGGAGATGACTGAGACTTGATGTGTGTTTAAAGAATACACTAAACAGTAGGTAATCAAGTGTTGCTTTATACTGTTCAAACTACTTGGGTAGTACTTAGGATATTTTTAATTAGATGTATTGTTCTATAAAGCAATAACAAAGACCAGAGCACGGCAGACTGGAGCCTTTCCAAGACTCTGGTTTGGCTGGTGCACAGGTTCTGTGGGTGTGTGGTGCCAGGTTCTGTGTGGCGAGCAATTTTACTTGAAGTGTTTGCCTGTCTCGTGCACTCTTATTAACATAATTGTTGTAACTGGTTGTTTTCTTATTGCATTGCTGTTTCTAGTAAACTGTTCTTATTTCAACCCGTGATCTTTACCTTTTGTGTCTCCAATTCTCCTCTCCATCCCGCTGAAGGAGTAGGGGAAAGGGGAGTTGGTGAATGATGCCTGGTCTGGGGTGTTTCACTGGTAGCACTAAACTGGGAAATACCATTCCTAGATGATGCCGACCTTTGGTCTATTTTCTTCATAGCAGTCTGCACCCATTTCTGATCAGCACTTACGCAGATTCTGACACCATTTCTATTGATAAACCTATAGGAAGAAAGAAAGCACACCAGGCGGCCATTAAATTCCAGTCTCTAAACCCAGATTTGCTGTTCTTGGTTTTCATGCAGAACACGGGGGAAAATGTGGTTAAACAATTTCAAATGCTGGACTTTGTAGATGTTAGCTGGAGTAACAGAAGCAAGCAATGTTAGTTCCCTATTCATGGCATGGGTATATGTGGAACGTACATGGTCATGTGCATATATACTGATATTAAAGAAAGGAGCATACCTACTGTTCTGAGATTTTAGATTCAGTCATGATGACAATTAACGTCCCGGGAGCAGATCCCAGATTTGATAAAAGTGCATGCAAGTGAGCTCAAAAGACCAAACACAGGTCCTAGCAGGAGTCAGTTACTCCATATTCTTTCACACAATCTTTTCCCCGTGGCTCAATTCAGTGCACTGTGTTTCTGACTGCTCCACCCTTGCTGAGACTTGCTGACCACCAAAGATCCGACTGTTCAGTGAGCTTTCTGCCCATATTCATGAATAGCAGAAACCTCCCAGCTCTCTGAGGTCACTAGTCTCCCCTCACTCCCTCAGCCGTCAGGCGACTCCTTCATGGGAGAACTGGAAGGGTGACCTGAACTCGGCAGATTTGGTGAGTTGGGCCACGAAGTGTCTTGTGATTCCCCTTCCCTTTTCGTTGGTAACGTGTTTGCATAGGCATGTCTGAAGGTGAACAGTGCATTAGGTACTTACACGATGGCACTTATTGGCATATGGTGCTTTTCATACTTTGCAAAATTTTGGATGTTCAGCTGTTTTGTACGCAGCCTTACACAATTGAATTTGCGCATGGACTGACTTCCAGCACTCCCTAGAAAGGGAAAAGTAGATAAATGAAAAGGGAAAAAATACTATATTTATATTTAGCCATAATCACTTAATGAATTGTGAAATCGAGAAGGTGTCCAGTTGTAGTTAGAGCATGAGAGTCTCATGATTTACAGCCACAATACCACTTATACAAGAGAGGTTAAGCTATTTTTTGTGATGCATCCTGCCATCTGTAAAGTGTTATTGTTCTTTCAGTCAAGATACTAATCTTCACCTGTTAACCTGAACAATTGTGTAATAATTCTACCCCTAGGGAGTGACTGCTTCCATAGCAGAAAAGGTATTTGGTATCATTCATATTTGGGTTTGTGTCATCTGCAAATAAGTGTCCATATGGAGTAGTGCTTAGAACCAGTACATTTACTGGATTTCCATATGGCATCTGAATGTGGATCAGTAACTCCCCCTACTTGGCAAGTGAAAAAAAAAGGAGGAAAGCAAGGCTACTTGTCTCACAGTTGACATGTGAAAGCAGAATTGAAAAAAACTGTTTAAAGAAAGGGAGGTATATCTACCAGAAGACCAAGTACCTACATACCTTGCTATAAGTCTGGTTTCATAGTCAATGGAGTGCTACTTAATCCTTCCTTTCCTCCAAGATTTTCATACAATTGAGGGAAATGGACTGGTGATTAATAAAGAGAATCATTATATGAGTGTAAAATTTTCTGAGTAGTTGTGATCTTAAAGGATGGTAACTCAAAATGGAAGTTCATTTAAATGAGATGGAGTATATGGACACATATGTGTGTAAGTCTCCACTTACTAGTTTCTGGTTTTCTCCTACTCATGAAAGACAGTTTGGGAAGGCATGAGGGGTACAAGCAGAACACTGCAGCACTCTGAGGTTTCTTGTTAAAGAATTTATTGAGACATTGGCTAAATAAGTCCAAGAGCTGTTCAGGTGCACCTTGCTAAATATAAAACCTTCTTCACATAATCTCATTTTAGAATAGCTGAGATAAACACACATCAGCCTTTGCAGACGCTGTAGCATAGCCAGTGCACAGGTACTGGCAGAGTTGCTAATTCCTGAGGGTTTGTTTGCCTGAATATCTCTTCTGATCTTGCTTTAGTCACAAGTAGCACTATGCATTTTTTTCAATGCTTCATTACAAATACCTTACTGTCTCAAACTGGTTTTCAAAATGTGGCATCAAGAGAGCTCAAAGATATTCAAGCCATCCTTACTCGTCCTGGAAATATTTTCTCTGCTGGCACACTATTTTCAGGGAATGGCTGCAGGGAATACCAGCAGAGCTTCTCTAAGCCTGGGAACAAACCCCAACTGCTCTGCACCTGAAAAGCTATGCTTTTTCAAGTGTCATTGTTTTCTTTATCATTCTTTCTAGTCCTTTTTCAATTGCTTGTAGATCAGCTCAGTGTGCTCTTTCAGCCTTGGTGATGTTTATGGCAAACTCTACATCCTGGAGAATGACATTGGGAACCGTCAGTCTGTGATGCAAACGCACGTGTTGCCAAGATGAAGAGCGGTATCATTAATCAACATATGAAAACGTGTATGATCCAGCTATAGCAGCACTGGGTCCACATCCTTAGCGTGTAGCTTCTTAATGTTGTCAATGTTTAGCAGGTGTCAGTTTGGTTTTAGTGTGGTTTTGTGAAGATACCTTTTCTCTGTGTTTTTCTCTGCATATTTGTAGGTTTGAATATGGTTTGCATGAGTGTTTTTTTTTTTAATGTGCTCGTTTGTGTGAATCTGATTATGATATGATGTATTATCTAAAGGATGTATCTCCGTGTTTTCCATGATCTCGCATGGAAGATCCATGATCTCTCCATGATCTGACCTAAACACCACTGTAGACAGAGTGATTTAAAACATGGCTAGTAAACATGGCTCATCTCAGTGCTCATGAATGGTTTCAAATAAGATGTTAAGTTGTATGATTCTATGAAGAGAGAGAAGATCTTGTATAAATCCATTACTACCCTTTTTACTTTTTGTTCATGGTTTGCCTATCCGTACCAAAAGATTTGTCCAAAAGGCACAAGCAAATAGGCAATAGGTGACCCAGAACTGGGAGAACTTTTTAAAATAGGGACATTAGAGGAATTCAGGCTATATATTTAGAGAAACATAACTAACAAATAATATAATAACATTCATATAAAAGTAGTATATCTGGAAATAGAAAAAATGTACATCTAATTCAAGAAATATTTTTCATAAAATGTTACTAACCTATAGTATTCATTGCTATATGGCATCAGTGAGACAAAAAGACATTGTGTCTTCAAGATTTCACGATTTTAAGAGAGAGAATCATGCACAGAAACCCTTTCAGTGCTCTAAGGCACTGAGAGTCTCCTTGCCTTAAAAGCAGAAGTCATTGTCAGGACATCAGATGAAATCTCCCATAAAGCTGCCTTTCTTGTGGTTCTGATCTGGATTTCCTACATGTTCTGTCTTATAAATCAACTGTGTCTGAATATGAATCCTGCTCATCAGATCACTGGTGCAACGAGGTGCAATTCCTGTCTCCCTGTGGGGTTGCAAACTTACCTTTCACTGTGCGCACAGTGAAGATGCCAAGGCAGAGGATGACGAGGATAGCTGCGGTGTGGAGCTTCATTGCTGGTGCCTTCTGTGTCAAGGCAGAGAAGAAAGTGGCTGTTGTCTGCCCTCTTTCCCAGAGTTTATAGATTGTCATTCAGTGGTCAGTTCTTGGGTTCACTTTTGTGGGTGTCATGGAGGGCCTGAGTATGAATGGAAGAACTGAGTGTCAGTACTTTTTCTGGTGACAGAGAACCACCTCCTTTCTCCCACCATCCTTTACTAGCCCCCCTGTGAAGGCTTTTCCTGCTCAAACCCACTGTGGTTGCACTTGCTTCTGGGCTGTGAGTAGGGTTTATTTCAAGCTGCAAAAAGTGAGAGCTCTTGTTGTGTAGCGGAAACCTTTCAGAAAAGTTCCTGTCCTTTCACACCTCCATTTTGAGACCTTTAGCTAAGCCACACTGCAGAGACACAGAGTAACATTCACTTCTTTGACCAATGGACCACAAGAGGGGGAACTGTGAGCTAGAGGAGGACGGAAAGAGGAACGTCTTGGCTCTTTCCAGAGTGGCTGTGGATAGCTGGTCACGTTAACACGTAGCTTTGGAGGTGTATCGCTGCTATTTCCTATGAGTGGTGGAGGTTGTCAGAACTCTTCTGTTTGCTCTGTGGTTTGACATGGCCAAAGCTGATATCAGCATGTGCTGGGAGAAGCAAGAGTGAAGGCACTTTTGCCTACAGATCCAGATCCACTAAGTCTCCTGCTAATCAGGCATTAGTACAGTGGTTTCAAAGAGGAATAAGATTTTACAAAGGGTCATGTTAGAGTTGGTGGTTGGATTTTTTTTGCTGTTGTTTTTTCTGTTTCATTTTTGGGGGAGGTTGTTTGGTTTTGGGTGGTGTTTTTGTTTGTTTGGTTTGGTTTTGTGATGTGTACTTTCTAGTATAAAGAATGGATTCTGAGAAAGTAACAAGGCAATCAGAGAGGCAGAATTTATAGATAAGAAGAAAAATTTTAATTTTGTTTTCTTGTAAACATGGTGTTGATAGCAGGTCTGTTCGCTTGTTACAATTGTACCTCTATCAAAAGCCCCATTTTTGCAGTCTGTGCCAGCCCTATCACCCAAGTTTAGGTGTCCTGTCCATGTTGTGGTAAGGTGGTTTGAATGGGCAACATTCCTACATACCAATGGTTTTGCACCTGCAAATATTCTTCAGGCCAGCTGTGGATGTCCAGGCCAAACACACAGCAGCAGCTGAACTAGCGTCATCATCCAGAGCCTCTGAGCAGAAATCCCGTCTCATGCTTTACACTCTGCAGCCTGGAACAAAAAGCCAGGCTTTGCTAGGCCCACAGAGATGCAGCTGGTGTTGGTATGAATAGGTGAGCACCAGGCTGCATAATGCCTGAGGTTGTGACAGTGGTGTAGAAGAGCTGTCAGAGCAAACCTTGGAGATGTCATACGAGTGTTCTGATTTCAGCTGGGATAGAGGTAATTTTCTTCTTAGTAGGTGGCATAGTGATGGTTTTTTGGATTCAGCAGGAGAATAATGTTGATAACACACGGATGTTTCAGTTGTTGCTAAGTAGTGCTTGCCCTAAATCAGGGAATTCTCAGTTTCTCATGCTCTGCTAGCAAGCAATTGCACAAGAAACTGGGGGTAGCATGACCAGGACAGCTGACCCCAACTGATCAAAGGGATATTCCATACCATAAATTGTCATGCTTAGTTCATAAACTGTCCAAGAGCTCGGATGGCTGGTCAGGGATGGACTGGGAATCGATCAGTGGTTGGTGAGCAACTGTAGTGTGCATCAACTCTTTCTCTTGGGTTTTATTCCTCTCCATCTCTCCCTTTCATCACAATTACTATTCTTATTCTTATTGGTAGAATTGTATCCATTTTGTTTCAATCATTAAACTGTTCTTATCTGAACACATGAGGTTTATTTTTCCACTTCTTCTCTCCCCTGGGGGTGGGGCAGGGTGGTGCTGAGTGAGTGGCTGTGTGGTACCCAGTTTGTGGCTGGGGATAAACCACAACAGCAAGTATGATGTTTCCTTGCTCTTACCTCCAGGCCTTGCCTCAGCTGCTTACATCCAGTTTTCCAAACTCCATAAATTCCTTTGCATGGGGAAAGGGCAGCATGTGGAAGTCAATTCCCAAAGATTCTTCAGACAAATTAACACTGAGCTAAGAACTGTGCTCAAATACATGACTCCTAGGCTGTAATGGCTGGTCTGCAACCCCAGGCACAGTCTGTAGGTCTTGCAGGTAGAGTACATGTGTGGTATATTTGTATATACACTCACATCCTTTGTTCCTATTATTTTCACTCTTTCATCCTACCTATCCTATGCAAACCAGGGAAACCCAGGGAAAAGGAATAGCAGGTAGAATTGCTTTAATTGAATGCCTGCTAAACCCAACCCACTTGCAGCACTAGGGAAGTTGCAAGGACATGGAAGCCAAAGCTTCAACCAAAGCCCCCAAAGGACATGCCTGATGCTACACAGGGAAGTAACCATACTGACCTCAGGAGGACTATTGGGAACTCTGTGTTAAGTTTGTGTCCAAGTAGCCTGGTGTTGTGCTACACACTGACTGAAATCAGTCCTTGGATGAGGTATTCTAGCTCTTTAGTACCTGTCAGCTATGAGATGCAAGATAGCAACCTTGCCACTGATGGTGAAGAGAAGTTTTCTGCCCATTAAGAGAGAAGATGCTCCCCCACTTCTGGTCATTGATATGGCATGTACATGTATGTATCTGCTGTCTACCAGCTGAATTGAGCATGAGCTAGCTCAGAAAAACTCAGTCCTTCCCACAGAACCTTCAGCGGGTTGTAGATTCCTCTGAGGTGTTGCTAGAAAGCCTGTTGTTTCTTCAGTTTTCCACCATCCTTCAGGTGGAATGGAAAAACTGCCCTGTGGCAAGTTTTCCCCCCTCTTTGTACTTCTCATTGCTGTGGCCTTCTGGGCTGTGGTTCTGTGCAGTTGGCTTATGTTCAGAAAAGTCTGTGTTTCAGAGAAGAGTTTTGTGGGCTGGAGTTCCACAGCCCCGTTTTTGGATATTTGTTGATCTCTGCTGTTCTAATGTTATATAAGGCTCATTTTGCACGCAGTGTAACACCAGTGGGTTCTTCCAATGTGCCAGGCAAAAGCTTAGCATAAGATAATCAGATTTATTGTCTTTCTGTTTTTTTGCTTTAAAGTCATATTAAAAAGACAGCTAATAAGTGCCCAAAGGGCTTTTTCTCATGACTGCTGCTCAGCTCTGGATAAGTTGAAAGCTAATGATCCTTATCCTCAGCCTCGACTGCCTCCTGTATTGCTCACTCATCACGGGCTGCATTCAAAGCAATCTGGAGGGAATCAAAAGATTCTGGATCATTTGCAGCCTTTGATACATCCACGGGCAAAGCCGATGGTATGATTATGGAGTTCTCTAGTAGTTTGCAAATTCTGAGCTGTGGATAACGATGACTGACTTTACAGCCTTGGGAGAGGATAGGGAGAGCAAGCTCCTGCTAGAGGTGTTCAAGGGCTCTCCTGAGCCCTTCATCCCCTGTTCACACAGAGCAGCCTAACTCCAGTTTACCAACACAGTAGCTGGGTCACAGAGAGCTGAAGGGACACATGAGACTGCTCATGCACAGCAGGAGGCAAAGCCATGGCCTGCTCTAGACAGCTCCAACTGCTGATTGCAGTCGTTTTCTTAATTTTTAACAGTGTCAAGAAACTTTTACTGAAATAATTTTTGCATATACCCTGTTTCATGACAGCAACCCTGTTGAAGGAACAGAAATGTTCAGTGAGCAGGGTGTTGGGCCTAGTATCAAGCATTTACTTATCAGGGTAAAGAGTTTGAAGTACTGGATTTTCTCACACTGTAGGCAGCTTTAAAAGAAGAGAGGCGAATATCTCCACAAATAAATAAATTCTTATGTACTCCTTGAAATTAACGTCTTTAGTGAATATTCAGCACCCTCTTGAACTTGAAGATGTGCCATCAGGTCACTTAATCACTTTTGAAGACTAAATCAGGGCATTCAGAGACTTTAAGAGGGGATTTAAGAGCCTCGGCTTACACACATCTGTATCATAAATAACTGGTGTTAGGGTGGAAGTTGTGTCCTGTCTCTTCCCCTCCCCACCCCGGAGATAAATATCTGTCTCTATTATCTATAGAAGCAATCTGTGCACGTGTCTTATGCTGGACACAGTAAGTAAGTGAAGTTATGTGGGATCTATCTGACCCCAACATATTTTGATTTCACATTGTTTCTTAACAGTTCAAGTACTGGCTTAAGAACTACCAGCTCGTGACATCCAGGTGTGATATCTCCATGACTTTCCTCCCTCCTCTTCTTCCTTTGCTTTTCAATATTTTGCTCTGTAGATTTCATGCTGATTTTACAGGTATCTGAAATAGCAGTTTATGTCCAGTATTTTAATTTATATTGTAATGGAGTAGAAACAAACACATGCTCAGTGCTCACACCTTAGCTGAGAGACAATGACTTTTAATCTATATTGATGGCTTAAATCACATTTTTAATAACTACTCTGTTTTTGCTGGTTTTGGCAGAACTCCTTTAGAAATGTAACCCTATTAATAATACTTTCTCTTAATCATAATAGAGCTTTTCCTTGTAGACCATCTGCTTCCACTACTTCACTGCCAGCTTTTTCCTGCCAGCTTTTCCCTGGTCCTGCCATCTTCCCTTGATGTATTATGTGCTCTTAAATAAGTTAGTTGTATCAAAATCTTTGTTCAGTCATCCAGCTTGAAGTAAAATTAGACTGAGAATGATTTGGTTTGAAAGGGAGCTTGAAACAAACATGTAAAGGTCCCTTTAGACAACATAGACAACTTTACAGTCATCTCTATGCAGACATGCACCTGTTTTGCTGATGTTTTAAGCTGACTCAACACAAATGTGGCATTTTCTGTATAGTAGAGGTCTTTACTCTTTCTTTCATTCAGTGTTGTCTTGGTTTATTTCAATGAGTTACACATTCAGTCAGGATTTAGAAGAGGAATACTCTGATCCTCATCTTTATAATCTTGTTT